CATTACCTTATGTAGAAAATGGTAGATTAAACCTGATTTATAGCTAGCTAAACCTCTCACCTGTATGACAGTCGCATAGAATTCCATTATATTGACAACAATGTGTGAGCAAAACAAACAGACATAATAGATAAAAATGTCAAAAATTGGGGAACAGCAGTCAACATTGTGTTATAATCTTAATCACTGTAAAAACTAATAATTATATCAACAAGGTAAAACAAAATGGCATATAGACACTCTATAGACAAAGTACATTGGCAAAAATGAAAGACAAGAATACAAAAATTACCATAGCACAATAACACATTGCGGATTGTATAAATACAGGTACCTCATTATGCAATAATAATATGATTTCCAATAATAGAATAAATAGATTCGTGTCATGCATAAAAATGTCATTTTCTAGCTCCTTTCTTCTGTTTTTCTATTGACAGTTTCTGCAGGGATACCAACAAATTCTTTTAAAATTAGTTTACCCTTTTTTACATTTATTTTTTTTACCCTTTTTTACATTTATTTTTATCATAAGGAAGTTGCTTGCGTTCGGCTATTTTTTTTTTTATCTTTAAGATGTATGGTAAACTGCCCTTTTGTTTTCTTAGCAATGTAAAAATACTATTCACAAAGTTTTTTTTATCATTTTGGTTTTCAACTTAATTTAGATTTTACACATCTGAGTATGAACGTTTGCCTTTCTTGTAGTTTGTTTGCCAACTATTGCTTTCGTGTCCTCATAATGAGATGTCAAGATTGTCAGGTATAAAAAGGTTTATTTTTATTCCTCTTTCTTTTGTTTGTCTATATTTTCCTCCTTTTTCATTTCTGTTCTTTCAGTTATTTAAACTGTCAGGATAATTTACATTTAGGAAGCTTGATTAGCAATCCATATATTATGCAATTTTGTGACGTTACAATTATCTTGAAAGTGACAGGTCATACTCATGTACAAGTACAGGCCGAAGAAAAGTTCTTATCAGTCTGCATTTTGTCTGATAATAGTTGTGTATATCAAGAGTAAGTAAAAGTTATTTATACAGTAAAATGAAAATTTAATAAGTATTTATGTAGTACGCTTGTACATACCTTTTTAATACCATGTTTAAACGGCCGATCAAATGAGCTATTTTCATAACGGATGTGGACATTCGTTGAGGACGAATCGTTACGGAGTTAATAGCCGTATTCTTTTTGAATTTTTACACTTAAAGCGAAAATATGAAGTTAAAATCACAATATAGAATACACACTTAAACAATTGAAAAAGCGTATTGGGTCGCTAGCTTTCAAACCTGCTATGGTTAACGTCTTGTACATTGGCTAGCAACGTAAATGTGGGAAAGTGTTTTTGAAATGTCGAGGAAGTGAGTGAAATATACGTGTACAGTATCGCCAATAACTAATTCACGCTCTCCCAATACATTAGAAGTATCATACTTTTATTTGCTGTTTTTGTAAATACTATATAGAATAAGTTTCATACAAAATATTATCAATCCATCTGTAGTTAGGAGTACCAGACGTAAATGATATACTTTATTTCTTCTTTACACGAAACTTTTTCTAATCGAGGTAAATATATTGTATATGTATATTTTTAGATTAATCTACCGAAATGTTGTTGAAAGCATCTGATTCAGTTGTGTTATTAACCTTGGTGTAAGTATATGAATTTTTGTGTATAACTATAACAGTGAAACATTGGAGGGCATAGGTGATTGCGCAACTTATTGCTTTGTTAAGTAAGATATATTAAGTAAATAAAAGTTTTAAAAAGAATTATTTTTTTCATTATATAATGTAACATTTCAATATCATTATATGATATAATTCATATAATCTTTACAATAATTATGTATTACGTACATTGGGGGACATATACTTGCCTCCCCATGCCACTAAAGTTATATTTGCTTAAGAGCAACAAAAACATCTATTTCCATAGCACGTTTATTTCAAAGAGACCGATAACATCACATCAAATATGCATCATCATCATACAAAGGGACACAACTCTCACGACTTAACTACAAAACACATACGACCATACAATACATATACATGTATATAACATATGGAATTCAGAAACTCACATTTTCAAAATTTTATAAAACGCTAATTATTACAGACTTGTATCTTTGGTGAGTTTTTATAGCAAAGTTTTCTCAATTACATAATTGAATAATTCTTTCACGACTTACCAATATAATATACAACTTCGCCGACTGTTTGTTTCAGCTATATTTACAGGTTTTTGTTCACTGGAGAAACATGAACCATTGTTATATTTGAATATTGAAACCTTAACTTTGTGACGATAAATTATAATTTTTTATACTTCTTACTTGACCCGCTCAGAGTCCCAACGTCCGGAGTTTAATCGTTTCGAACAAACTTTCTGTTTAAATTACAGTTCTTCAACATCAGTATCCTTTCTCTCTTGTCTTTCTCCCAAATCATTGTCTTATTATTTTCAGAAATTTTTTTCGTTGTTTAATTTCAAATTTTGATTTGATTATTAGTTCGTGACCACGCTTTTCTGTCTGACGAGTAAGCCATTTACCCGATACATTGACATTGTACACTATATTAACCTCCTTTACTAGTATAGAAGCGTTTGACCTTATTTTTTATCAACCAATCTAAGTGACCTCAGATCAATTTAGGTAGCACCTTATGTGGCAAAAAAGATTTGAAAATATTGTTTAAAGTAATGTCATGATTTGTTCGAGATGATCTTTGACGTATTAGGATAAAGCCTTGACGATACCAGGACAGATTGGTTTAAAAAAGCAACGCATTCTTATTGTTTAGATACATTAAGCTATGTTTGACCAACATTGGTCAACAGTTGACTTTAACTTGAAAGTAATGATATTGATGCTTATCGCATTTCTTGCGACAAATATCACATAAGATGGACTATTTCCTTTGTCATATCTGTAAATACAGTTTTGTTTTTCTGTTCATAGCATACCAATGGTGTTTCATGAAGACTGACGTTGTAATAATTTTGCAGAACATGTTTGAAACACTGGCTTTCTTTGGAAATTATGTTTTGATATAGTCCAAATAATGTAGTTTCATGATACCTTCTCGACATTTGGAATCTAATGTTTCATGCCATAAAAATTAGCATCTGTTAAAAATGTTTATTTACTATTGGGTGTTGATACAGTTACTACCTGTTTTGGTCATTGAATGATCCGTCATGAAATGCAACTCAGATTTAGTTTTAGTTCGTTCATGTTTATATATACACGTCATTACATCCTGTCTCTATATATTGTAGACATCCGAAACAAAGTTACTTGTAAATGGTCTTACAAAAACCATGCATTATTGTGCAATATATGCCTATTAGACATTTTCGAAAACTGTTTTAAACTTCTATGTTTACATTAATGATGACATTTACAGATAATGCTATAGGGGCCATCTCAAAGTGTACAATGTTGACAAATTGAAAAGCAAATAACGCAAACTATGTATTTTTATTTAAATCAACGAAACAAGTCGTGAAACCTGCATACATGTTCAAAAGCAGCACAGATATTTGCAAATTGTCAGAGTTTTCTCCTGGGATGTCTCCAAAGACTTCCCTGAACTCCATAATTCTTCAATTCTCCAATTGAATGTTCAAAGCAACTCTGTATTCTGTGATGAATTAATTATCCAAAAAAAAAGTAATTTTTCCACACCTCCCTTTTGAATTGTCCGGTTTTATCTGTATTTGTTGGCGTGTATAGGGTGTCATAAGAGGATATCTAATAGGATATATTTTATCAGCCAGTAAAAACTATTGATTCGGGAAAGTCAAGCTCAGCATTTCACCCTATTGGCCTAATCATTGCAAACTGTTGCGCGTCATTTTGATGTTCCAAAACCACAGAATTTTGCATGAATTATCGATAACAATTTGCAATGAAAATGAGGATATCCTGAAAAATAAAGCTCACGAGGCTCAATCAGTGACCTGTAAATTTTTTTGGCCTGCCAGTTTTACGTCGAAAAATATCATTTGCAATTTGTCTCAATATGTCTAAAACGGTTTAGGGTGTTTCTCCACTTTTTAATAAGAGAAGTATCTATGACGTGAAAACATTTGAAAAACATAGATTCCTTCCCAAGTGTCGACGAAAACATGCTTAAAATCAGTCTGATGACATACGAGAAAATCTCATGTTGGAAATGTCATCTGGGAATGGAAAATAATAACAAACAAAAACGTGCTGCAGTGGAAGAGGAGGGAGAACAATGCATACGTCTTGCAGTGAAAGGGGAGGGCGGGCAAAAAACAAACGTCCTGCAGTGGAAGAGGAGGACGGGCAACTATCTGACGAACGGCAGCCCGGACATAGTGATCTAAAGGAAAGGAAAGCTGAGCCAAAAACAGCATAATTTATGCAGCTTGTTAAAAAGAATCATCTGAACTATGAGTAATACATGGAGAAGATGATTCCTAAAATATTGAAAGCCTTGGGAATTAGACGATTACTAACAGTATCAAATACTGTTAACAAATAGCTGATTTCATTTTGAAATTAAAATCATTTCACTCATTGTTTCCGTTTGTTAATTATGTAACCACTTCTATCGAGACATTGTGTATTTTGAGATGACCTAAGGGTTTGTTTACCTGTAATTATCATCGTCAACTTAAAAGTCATGTGAATTTTAGATTCCGAAAATGTCCAATATCTACATTTCCCACTATATCTTTCATTTCAACCCACGTTAAATTATTCATAAAGCTGACCCTTACTTTTAACATGTTGCAACTAATTTCTCCATTGATTCCATTTAACTTTCAGAATCTTATGCTGAATTCATAGGTTTTGTTTTACTTATCAATTTCTGCATATATTCTATTTGCTAATGTACCAATCGACAGTGTCACTCGAATCAAAAGAGTTGGAAGGCCAAATAAAATTCGAAGTTGAAAAGCATTTAGAACCGCATAATCCCGAAAAGTTTTGCCAAATACAACAAAGGCAATGTATGCCTGGGGAAGAGAAATCTTAGTGTATCAAATACAACAAAGGTAATGTATGCCTGGGGAAGAGAAATCTTAGTGTATCAAATACAACAAAAGTAATGTATGCCTGGGGAAGAGAAATCTTAGTGTATCGAATAATTTAACAACTTATGGTTTGTCTTTTCGTCGTTTTTATTTTTTTTGCCATGGCATTTTCAGTTTTTTTCGATTCATGAGTTTTAATATTCCTTTCGTATCTTTCGCCTCTCTTTTATAAACAGTACTTTTATAGAAAATGAACATATCAATGTAATCAACACAATGGTGCTGACTACTGGACTGGTGATACCCTCGGAGACGAAGCTTCAGTCACCAGTAACATCGACTCAGTGATTGTAAACACGTAGCAAACAGTAGGACAAAAACGGATGCTATATCATCTTTCGGTAATATGTTTTTTTTATATTTTAGTATCCACTTACAACTTGCTACACCTAAAAACTTAGACAAATACAACCTTGAAGATGCAGCGAGGAAAGCCGAAGTAGAGGAAGTAGATTTAGATAATCTGATCGAAACCAATGAAGGGTTCCATAATCTAACAAACCTTGGAGTACCTAAAAAGCGAGGTTTGTATATTTTCCCTATCACAATATAATTCCAGAATTAAAATCGCTGCCACGTCCTGTCGGAATGTTCGATGTCTCGTTTATGGTGAGTCCCAGGCTCTATGTAACAAACTTTACAACATCTATCTCGGAAAGGGGAGGGGGGTCCGTAGGTGGCAATTCAAAGGGTAACATTTTTGTCCTTTTCCAACATGCACTCTATTTTCATATTTTTTTATCCAATTATTCCTCCCTTTCTCCCAGGCGTCTAACCTTGCAGAACCTACTTTTTATGTTTATATTACCCTAAATATAAGCAAGCAACAATTAATCAATCTCCTCATTTGTATACAAATCAATTTCAGGTAACCGTGACTTACAATTTTATACATATACACTGAAAACCAATTCATCGTCGCGAGCGATTTATTTTCGCGGGTAGAAAAAAAACACTAATATAATTTATATCAAACCTATGTCCTCTATTTAATATATAAATACACCAACAATCTAAAAAAAAATTGCGAGAAGGGCCTATTTCGAAACAAAGATTCCGACAAAAATTAAGTTGGTTTACAGTATCTGTTTGAGTTTTAAAAATCTTTAAAAAAAATCAAGCATTCAAATTTAAAAGGGATTATTTTCTCCTTTATTTGTTACAGTTGAATGAATTTAGAGTCAATGATCAAAATGTGGCCAATCAGGCCTCTGCAGTGTATATTATTTCAAAACTATACAATATACTTATTAATTTAGTACGCTGCCTTACAGCATCCAGCTGTCGAAAGCGGCACATATTGATGACTATTGCGTCATCATCGTCCGCTACACCCGCAATAGCAGGCAAGAATTCAACAAAATTTGCGTATGTTCATTTATTGGCCATGAAGTTATGCACCTTACCAGTTCCTTTAACGATCAATTAATTCACTACATGACATCTGCGTGGGGTATATAAATTCGCGGTCACATCCAGTAAGAATGATGACGTTAAACCCGATGCCTCGTGTAGATCTAGAGATTGAGTCACTTTCTCTGCATCTTTAGAACCCTTGCAGCAACTACTTGAGGGTCCGTAGGTGAACTGTTGCACAGCCTAATTGTGTACCTATCCAATGTACCCTCATTTTCCAGTGGCTTTCCAGTTTTCCTGCCCATAATTTCGGTTATCCCATATTGCAGGTTGTACATATTGTATTTGTATTTGTTCTCGATCTAAAATGCAGCCAATATTTGCCACTGAACAATAAGCGAACAATTTTCAATCAATCTTGTAACAGTAAATTTTATTCAACGCAAAGAAATTAACATGATGATTAGGGAACGACCATTTTACGTCAAAGGGAGGGGGGGGGGATATTCTGATCCCCAATTTGATAAAAAAAAAATTGTGGTCAAGCAGATGACAAAAGAAATATTCTGAATCCAGATTTTCCCCATACCTTATAGTTTTAAATTTTGAAAAAAATTATTTGATTGATAGCGTCGAAAAACTAAAAAAAACATGTCTGACTCAGACAAAAAACCATAACCCCCCTTGAAGTTAACTTAACCATTCAAACAGATACAGTAGCATTAGTTGAAATACAACTGGAATATAAATCCATTATAATCTATATATGTAAATTGATGTTAAGTTGCATTGTATTGTTTTCTTCTTAGTTGTCGGTATTATCTCTGCTGTTACGGCTGGATTTAGTATACTTAAGGCTGTTGCTTCACAGATTGATGTTTCAAGAGTATGTGCTATTGGATTGTCAAATCATGGAAATCGGAAGTTGGTTGAACCAACTTGGTATCTTGAAAGTGGAATTATCAAAGATCCCCTACCAAGAGAAATTTTACCTGGTGACGCCGGTATATTTACATTTGAGAAGACAAATTGTGAGTACTGGCATATTACATTACATTTAAAATATCTAAAAAATCAGTGGCTGAAACAGAATTTCATATACAAACCCAAGTAAGAAAAATGTTTTGGAAACCTTTCGTTAGAGAAAGTTTGCATGTGCACGTGCCCACTACATTCAAATTTCATCAACTTTTGAACCTGAACGTCATTTTCGCTCATCAAAATGAGCTTGCAAAATATACCTTCTTGTGACGGTCACTAAATAGAACCATAGAAGCATACTTACTAATTGCTATTCTAGTCTTGGAAAAAGTAGTTTATTCATTAATATTGAAATTGGTGGTTGCTGTCTGTTATATTTGTTTGTTCACTTTTTTGGCTTTTTGGGTTTGTTTTTTTGATGGGTTTTATTCTGTATTTTCTCTTGTTTGGTTCACAACTTTCCATACTTATTTTTAAGAATACGATCTCTGATTTTGGCCGATCTGACATATTGTTTGAAGCCACCTTAGACTTTTCATCAGACAAAAATAACGACATTTACTATGATCTTCTGAAAAACATTGAATTTTCTGTACAGTTTGATTTCATTTAACAGAATTCTGTTCTTGAAAATAAAAAAAATCACATAAAGTTTGTAATGTTATTAACGTTGATCTCCGCTAGCAGCCATTGTTAATTTCAAATCGGCACCACGGTAGGAACACTTGCTTTCAGATTCAATCCATCATTTTCTACATAAGAAAATGCCTGTACCAAGTCAGGAATATGACAGTTGTTGTCCATTCGTTTGATGTGTTTGCGCTTTTGATTTTGCCATTTGATTAGGGACTTTCCGTTTTGAATTTTCCTCGGAGTTCAGTATTTTTGTGATTTAACTTTTTGCTAATAATTTTATATGAAATATATCTGAGCATATATAAAGGCCTTATAGTTGTTTACATCCAGGTCCTTTGGTCTATGGTGGATGGTTGTCTCGTTTGCAATCATACCACGTATCTCTATTTTTTTATTTAGCACGATGCCTGTTATAGAAGCTGTCAACACCAGTTAAAGACTTACATTGGTAAGGATTTTTTTTTATTCTGTTAATATAAATCGTTTATATCTTTTAACAGATGCTACATACGGAACAGCTGGAACTCTGACGTACACTGTTGACGGCACAGAAACACAAATAGAGGTCATGTGGTCAGTTCCTATGGTATATGGTATATACTCTAATAGGTTTAACGTAAAGGTAATTTAAAATATCAAAAATATTTGTACATATTGTTATATTGCGGACGAACGTCGACAGCTAAGATGATCAGCAAGTGCTTTAAATGATAAAAACTAAGAACGAACTGATCTTATTTTAGTGCCTTTAGTACCAATGTTACAAAAGTATTGGTTCGAAGTAAAAATGAGCTTCCAATCAAAGTTGCCCTTTTCTCTGTTGCGTTTACAATACGATGAAATCAATAAAAAATTACCTTACCGCAAATTTACGGCACTTGAAATAATAACAGTGAAGTATAAACGACAATGCCATAGCAAAAAACAAATAACGATCAAAAGACAAACAACAGTATACAAAACACAACAAAGAAAACCAAAGACTTGGCAACACATGCGAAATACCCTAAATGTGATCATTATCGAACAACAAATACGACTCTTAGGCAAATTATGCGTATGACAATTCAATGTTAAATACATGTTTATATGTCAACAATAAATGCTAATAACAGATTAAACATTAATCACATAGGGAATACTGTTTTGTTTTTGCGTTTTTGCGGTTTTTCTTTAATTTGCAAGGATTCAGTAATATAGATACAATGAATAAGCGTTGATTCTTGAAAAAGAAACCATGAGCCCGCAGGGCGAATGGTTTGTTTTTCATGAATCAATGCTTATCCATTGTATCTATAACTTATAAACTATTGTGTTAATGTCTTTTCAAAATTAAAGCATTTTCTTAATTAGAAGGTATTGTAAGTGAGTTTAAATAACCATATTATCATGTTCAACGATGCATTAACTAATAAAATTGAGAATGGATATGGGAATGTATCAAAGAGACAACAACCTGACCAAAGAGCATATATAAAGTATATATAATAAGTATGTTACCGAAATTTCTAGCAAGAAGCCTAATTCTAGACATACCACGATTTACTAGCATAGCAATTTGCGAATAAACATTTGTAAAATTATGTAGTAAAACAGATGAAATCTATCTATATTTATAAAACAAAAATGGACAAATTGAATGTAATCATTTTCGTTTCAAATATGTGAAATAGACAACAATAAACGGTAAAACTCGCTATTATTACAAAAATATCCACAATTACATACAAAATAAAAAAAAAACAACAGAAAAACTACAGAATAGGGACAACAAAGAGAATTCGAACCTAAACCGACAAGTTCCTAACTTTAAATTGACTCTTTAACTCATTGTTTTGAACCATGCTAACCTCGCGGCTACGAACTTATATTATACGATTGCCTATTATGTATATATAAAGGTACAAGCCCTGTGTGTCCGTTGCACCGATGTTTATTATATGTTCATATATATATATATAAAATAGACATTTAAATTGTAACCCATTAGTAGCCGAGAGGTTTCGTCGATATGTTGATGTGAGTCACACATAACAAATTTCAAGGACGGGTTCGATTCCCAGTTAAGGCATATAAAAATTACAAAAATTGAAGGTAAGTTTTTAAATTAATTCCATTAGTGAACAGAAATCAGTAAATTAGCCAATTCAAACTTAATGAAATTAGGCACACAAAGGAAACAATTGAATATAATTTGGTGAATCCATGTATATGTAAGAGAATGATAATCCCTTTCTTCATGAATAAGTACGAGCGTTAGCGAGTACTTATCATGAAGTAAGGGATTATCATTCTCTTACAAACTTAGAATATTGTGAAGTGCTCAAGGCTCAAATGATCTATCAATTAGTTTCATTGTCAGTGCACTGTTTATAATTGATGCATGACTTCCCTTTTCGGCATGTCATTTATGGATTAGTTTTAGTGATGTGAGGACTTTCTTATCATTTGGGAAATATTTTTTTTAAAAAATGCGTTATAGATATTAGGTGACACAACAGTAGAAAGAAAAGGTAGGAATTGTATGCTTCCTGATTGTAAGTATGAATGTAAATCATGTAATATCTTAGTGAGGAATTATCCTTTTTTTATTTACAGTTTAAATCAATTTATACATTTGAGTTACAACTAAATTTTATTTCACAGCCAATAATTTGGTCCGGCTTTTTACATCAAATACTGTTGCATTATGTCAGGGAAATGTTCAAAAATAATGCACTTAATAGTTTTTAAATTTACTAAACTAAATTCCTGTTTTTTTTTTATCGAATACATGTATTGGAAATAACTATTCTCCACAACCGCTGATCAAGTAATCAAAGTTTTGGAAAGCTAAAGATTTAGGTTATTTTTTATCTGAAAGATTTTTTTCCTTTTTTTTTTTTGCATTTGCTTTGGTATTGTTTAATTTTATAGTAATTTGAAGTTATTAATATTTTCATAATAACATTCACGGTACCAATTTTACTGCACCAGTAAACTTCAACTTATTTTGAGATTTTTGTGTGTTTCACAATTCAACTGTTAGTCAGTTTCAATCACTCTGTGATAAATCCTTTCAATCTGATAAATGTGCTTCGGGGCAGTTGTAACTCATTTATAGAAACTGTTTGTTTTGAACTGTAAATAGACCCAAATAATAGGATAATCCCTTACTAAGAACATGATTTACATTCATTCTTCACAATTAAGAGGCATCCAATCCTACAATTTCATTGGTCGAGAGTACTTTGCTATATTCTAATTCAGCGACAGATTTAAGAAGCGTTGATTCTAGAAAAAGAATCCACGGTAAATGAATAGGCTGACGTCACGACAATGGTTTAAATATTTTGATACATATTTACATATTATTAGATTGAAGAGAATCAGGTTGCATCATCAATGTTGCATAAGTATCTGTACAAAAACCAATCTCAAGAGGTATCGAATGGTGGTCACTGGATGCATCGTGACCATAACAACATAAAGGTTCATGCAGCTATGACCAACAACGCCAAGGCATCTCTATTAGTGGAAATATTTTACAACTTAACAACACCAATGAAAGAAGTATTTGGAAAATAAGAACTATTAAAGTATCAAATAAGTGTGGGTGATTCAATTATTCAAACTGAATATCCTCACAAAGTGTATGTTATCATTTTAATGCTGAGTCTATATGGATGTTCAATTGTGTTTCATGAAAAAGATTGGCTAAGAATAATTTGTGTAAACGACTTTATGTTATGTTAACCCACGAGTAGACTAGGGTATAGAGGTATGGTCACTTCGATGTTCCCTCCTGGCAAAGTCACGTCGAAGTGCCACGCTAGTTTCACGTTAAAAATCGTTTCAAAAACTCTATAAATGTTTCGTAGGTGGCCAGCTGCTAGACAAGTTCTTGCACTTTTCAAAGATACCACATACCCTCTTCTCCAAGTTAAAACCCGGTCGAACCACTTTGCATAACCTATCAGATGTTTTTATTCTGATTTGTTCTTGTAAAATGATGCATGAAACATTTCCTACTGAAAGTAATGTAAACGGTTTTCAATCAAATACCGGTAATGCCTTTGTGAGTACATTTTATAGACTGTCGACATTCCAATAGAAACCAACTGTGCTTCCTCTGACAACACAACCGCCTTGTTCCTTTGTTTATATGAGGCAGACATCATGCAAGCGTTTCTTAAAAAGAATAATTGAAAAACTAGCATGCATGTTTACTTTAACTCCACAGTACGCTGGAAAGATTTTCTTTATTATATGATTCAACATTTGGTGGCTATAGTAATTTTAACGATTTCATGAAACTTTAAATAAATAATAGGAGCAGATATTTTCTCTCACAAATAGTTGTAGTAAAGATCCTTTAAAAGAGGGACGAAAGATACCAGAGGGACAGTCAAACTCATAGATCGAAAACAAACTGTCAACGCCATGGCCAAAAATAAAAAGACAAACAGACAAATAATAGTACAGATGACACAACACAGAACACTAAATAAAATTGAGAATGGAAATGGGGAATGTGTCAAAGAGACAACAACCCGACCATAGAACAGACAACAGCAGAAGGTCACCAACAGGTCTTCAATGCAGCGAGAAATTCCCGCACCCGGAGGCGTCCTTCAGCTACTAAACAACACGAACCCCACCAAAAACTGGGGGTGATCTCAGGTGCTCCGGAAGGGTAAGCAGATCCTGCTCCACATGTGGCACCCGTCGTGTTGCTTATGTTATTACAAATCCGGTAAATAGTCTAATTCGGTAGGTCACATTCGTGAAAAGGATTTAACGTGCAGAACGCCTGACACTTCATACACGAGGCGTCTCATGTGATGTTCCTAGTCTGATGGGGAGAGCTGGGATTGAGCATCTATACATCCCACCTTGCCAAACATTTGCCTCTCCTTATCATTCAAATAGTTCACAGACCCCAATATATTAATTCCAATAAAAACATTTCCATTTTTATCCTTTATTTGTATAAATGAACAACAGATTTCCATTTAAGTGTACAGATTACAATGATTTACATTTTCAGCACATATTAAATCACAAGTCAACACTTAAGGTCACCTAAATATAACTATAAAATATGTCTATGTATTCGTGGAATACAACAGACATTTGAAAAATCTTCATGACATGGTTGTTGTGTATTTTTTGTCTGTAGACCTGACCACCAACTAATGAGAAATACAATCATTTCAGAAGTACTTCACTGTTTCTGCTGTTTACTTACACCTGCAAAGTTAGACATTCCTTAGATAAAATCGTAGAATTTCCTTATTTTTCCAAAACAGTTGATGACCCGTTATAATTTCAGAGACAGAGTTAATCATTGAATATCTTAATGTACATGTTTATTGTATATAACGAAAATTATATTTACTAGACGTATAGTATCTGCGACTGTCTTCGAGAAATCTTAAAAGCGACATATGATGGCGAGTTGTCTCGTTGGCACTCATACCACATCCTCTTGTTTGTATATGAATACTTTAATTTCTCCTAACCAAATTTCCTCAAGCAAGGCATTTTTCCTCTTATAATGTATCCTGCTTTGTGATGTTAAACCAGTTTTAAACGTGTAAATTCTAGTTCCTTGTAAATTCGATGAAGGAAAATGAAAATTATGATTTCTAACAGAATGAATATTTCTAATGTCAGAATCGAACTGGCGAATGCCAAATTGAATAATGAAAACGGAAATTAATATAAATTGTAATTTTTGAATATGGAAAGAAATATCATAATGGTATTGTCCGTCATGTGTAATGGACTTTTTAGTTTGTTTTTCTTTTAATTTGAGTGTTGAAAAATGAAACAAATTGTGTCTGATTGCATATACTTCCCAGCAACGTTTTGAATAGACACTTTTCCAAATGTTTCCGGATTTGTTTTTCTTATATCTTTGACATTTGGTTTAAATGTTTTATACTTCCTTTAAGTATACGTTTCAAATGTTTTCCTCAACTAAAAAGCTGCTAATTACATGTATATACTTTTAATCTATTGCGCATTCGTTAGGCTCTGTGTTGTATGTTACTATGGTAGTCATTGTTGTTTTGTTGTTATATTTGTCTTACATGTCCAATGTCTTGATTGATTGTTGTAAAGAATTGTGAAAGTGATATAAAAATATGCAAAGAAATTATTATTTATATGTAATTATTTAATCAGTTTCAATAAAGGCTTTTAACATCGTCTGTTATACATTTTAGGTAATACATGCAGTTGGTATAGTCTTATACGATTCAAGTTTTTCCTAACCAACTCTCCAATTAGGAGTAGAACTAAAAGTATCTTAGCTATCAAAGATATTTTTCACAAACAATATATTAATGGACACATGTAAATGTGGAAATCCATATCATCATAAGTGACCCTGTCAGTTGGTTTTTATGTGTTTGCAAAAATTCATTTAAAAACTCTTTCTAAAATTTTCTACTCATTGTTCGATTTATTCCTTGACTTATGGTAAATATATGTGTCTGTTGTGAAGACCGTTAGTAGCAGCCTATAGATATATCTTTTCTGGTTTTATATATGTGTCTTTTGTGAAGACCGTAAGTAGCAGCCTATAGATATGTCTTTTCTGGTTTTATATATGTGTCTGTTGTGACGACCGTAAGTAGCAGCCTATAGATATGTCTTTTCTGGTTTTATATATGTGTCTGTTGTGAAGACCGTAAGTAGCAGCCTATAGATATATCTTTTCTGGTTATATATATGTGTCTGTTGTGAAGACCGTAAGTAGCAGCCTAAAGATTTGTCTTTTCTGGTTTTATATATGTGTCTGTTGTGAAGACCGTAAGTAGCAGCCTAAAGATTAGTCTTTTCTGGTTTTATATATGTGTCTGTTGTGAAGACCGTAAGTAGCAGCCTATAGATATGTCCTTTCTGGTTTTATATATGTGTCTGTTGTGAAGACCTTAACTTTTCTGGTTTTATATATGTGTCTGTTGTGGAGACCGTAAGTAGCAGCCTATAGATATGTCTTTTCTGGTTTTATATATGTGTCTGTTGTGAAGACCTTAACTTTTCGGGTTTTATATATGTGTCTGTTGTGGAGACCGTAAGTAGCAGCCTATAGATATGTCTTTTCTGGTTTTTTTATATGTGCCTGTTGTGAAGACCGTAAGTAGCAGCCTATAGATATGTCCTTTTTGGTTTTATATATGTGTCTGTTGTGAAGACCGTAAGTAGCAGCCTATAGATATGTCTTTTCTGGTTTTATATATGTGTCTGTTGTGAAGACCGTAAGTAGCAGCCTATAGATATATCTATTCTGGTTTTATATATGTGTCTGTTGTGAAGACCGTAAGTAGCAGCCTAAAAATTTGTCTTTTCTGGTTTTATATATGTGTCTGTTGTGACGACCGTAAGTAGCAGCCTATAGATATGTCTTTTCTGATTTTATTGTGTTTAACGGCTACGTATATTTTATTCATGAAAATAATAATTTTAGCGTACTAGAATACATTTCTTTCTATAAGTGGAATTCTTTATTGTTAAACATGTTTGTTGTTGTGACATGTTTCTATCATACCTTCTAGCATATACCACACATTCTTGGGCATTCCTGGGGAACATTGTAGTAAGTACGACAATGAGATTTCGGCCACCATTTGCAATGGACTGCATCCTGGGCAGGACATTTTGCTGGAATTAGAAAATTTAAAAACAGTTTTTTTGCGTGTTTGTTTAAGCTTTTATTTTTGCATAAACTCACGGATTAGCAAAAATAACTTATCTTCAATACACTCAATGTGTTTATTCTTGCTTTAAATGGATTAAATGGGTCTCTGTTGTAATGTGTTACATACCTGTCGACGATTCTTTTTGAATTATTCGAAATACTAAGGTGTATCTACCCACAGACATAGGAGGACGTAGCCGTATTTGGCGCAACTTTTCGAAATGTTTGTCTTCGGATGCTCTTAAACTTTGTGCTTGATATGGCCTTCCATCTTTTTTTATTCGAATGCCACTGTTGGGTCTTATGTAGACAAAACATGCGTCTGACGTAAAAAATTATAAGCCTGGTTTCAATGATGTGGTTTGTTTCATCTGTCATCATTAGTGTAAGGCACAAAGACTTTTAGGATTAACTCTATTCGAGTACACTATTTGTACATTTCTAGACATATTATTAAGTGGAAGAAAGTAAACTATTTAAATTTAAGTTTTACTGAAGTCATCGTAATATTATTTGTTTCTTTGCATAGAAGACCATTGATAGATATCATTTGTTAAAGTCCGATACTGTCACCCTTTCCGCGTTTCTGGCATCATCGCATATAACGCTAAATGAGTCACAATGTGTGCTATTAGTGTAGCAGAAACATCTACTGCATTACCTTTTGCGCATGTAGATCCACTGTAGGGAGGCACACATGTACATGTGCATGTGGCTGTATTCAGACTCCCGCCATTTTGACACATCTTTCCACCACATGGAGCTAAACGAATATGAACATATGGACTTCGAAGAAAGATATATTAGACACATTATAATCAATAACATTTTTATGTATTTGTTCTTGTTTGAGGAACCATTTTAAAGACCATCTCGTGTGTTCATGTCTTAATTATCAGCGAATAATGTTTAATACATTCCTCAATGTACTTTTTCATTATTATTATCAATAATTCTTTGCACAACTTGTTGTATTTTTCTAATTTCATTTATCTATAAAACTTGGCATTGCACTGGTGTGCTTATAAACTATCACTTTACTATGTAGTGGCTCTTTCGAACCTGTTTAATCGACTAGCATGGAGTTTATTTCTGCCATTGTACAAAATATTACAAAAAAAAACTACAATCAATATCACTTTGAAAGGTTGCATTCTTATACATACCATCACATAATCCACACATTACTGGACACATGTCACGTTTGACATTATAGTAGGTAGCACAATCACTGCATCCTACATTACCCCCTTGCGTCGCACAGTTTTGGATGTCTTGACCGTGGTCGCCATATTTTGAGCATTCCGCTAAATAAAATAAACCGAAATGAACAAACAACCTCACAAATTTATATTTTACAAAACTTAATCATTTTTTATTGCTTATCATAAAATTGGTGTCGATCATAGTGCATATCTATGAAAATCATCACGGAAAACAATTTATGTTTCAAAAAAAGGTTTTGTTTTAAACCAAACAATAGTTTGCAAATAAGATTAATTCATTTGATTGTTAATGTAATAAAATATCTTTCCACTTAACAAGTTATATATAACATTTTAATCTATAAAATCGTATATTTTTTTTTACGTTTTTTTTTAATTATAGAAAAACAGTTTTCCACGTTTCAATGACATCTCTGTCAAGAAAGACAGAATACAGTGAATGTAATGTAATCTAATAGATTGAGTACAATAATTATATTCTTACTGTGACTCGCCCTTCGTCCTTTGAAAGTACATCCGAAAGCTGAGGTGTAAGTCGTTGGTGGTTTGAGTGCACTTGTTGACCCTCCTAAAAGGAAATTACAGGAGGTAAATAAATATAGTTCATACTAATAATCAAATAACTGAATGAAAATTTTGAACTGACCAATTAGAGGAGGTAAATGATTATTGAACACTTTTGTTTTTAATAAAACAACTGTATTTCTATGTATGACCTTATTAACTAAAAAGAAACACAACAAGCAATCATGCAACTGATCATTTGAGTAACGTTAATGTACATTAAAATTTAAGCAGGTAGTCAACGATCACTCCCAGTTCAACAGTTTTGAAAATGCTTCCCGGAACATTGAAAAGTAGATATAGATTTTATTCTGAAATCTTAACTATTTAATCACATTAGTGTTAAACAGTTATATCAGGATTAAGCGATATAAACCCTTATTTATCTCATTGAAGAAATTAAGTGACCTAGCTGGAAAATTAAGCAAGTTCAGTGTATAAGGTATAACAACTGCAAATTTCTTATGAATTGGTGCTAACAAAATTCATGTAGGACATGATTTTTTCAACGCTTTTGGCTTATTGCATGCTTGAAAGGATTTATTACAAAAACATATATTCCTGCACATTGAATTTTATACTTTTTTCTGAAACTATTTAATGTATACCTCCATCATATATAAACCGTGGTAATACCGACCTTTGCATCTTCCACACATGTAAGGGCATTCATCTGGGACATTGTAGAATCTTTCACAGTATGACTGAGGCCAATCTCTGCCACAAACAAAGGCGTCCTCTGCTGGGCAATTCACTGTAACAAATGATAAAAAAAACGCTATTCATTATCTGGTTATTATTTTCAAATTCCCCTTTAAAAATCTCTAGTAGGTAATAGAAACGGAACCATATAGAGTAAGACGATGTGATATGTTTGTCAATGAGACAATTATCCAACAGAGATTGATAAATGACACAATAACAATATAGCTTTCGTACTAAGTAATAGAAAAGTTATAAAGCTAAACAATTGTGAATTTTAATTTTGCTACTTCTAAAGCCAGTCTTTCTTTAACCACAACAGTCAATAATTTATTGTCATATTAATCAATATAAAACATATAACGTAATGTAATAAACATAAAAATAAACAACAACATAACAGTACATGTAATTAAATTAAAAGTAATACATCAAATAATACAGAGATCGGTTAAAAAATTGTGGTATTTTATAAACAATATTTCCACTGTTTGTCCCTCACTAGGTAATATGAGACATAATGTTAATTTCTAGTAAACAGATTTGCACAAAAAGCAATAAAACGATGGTAAATGTGTAGGCGATTCAGTTTTATTCTTTACAATCTATGGGTAAAGGACTTTGACACAAGTATAAAAGGATACCAAAGGGACGTTCAAACTCATAAGTCGAAAATAAACCGACAACGCCATGGCTAAAAAAGAAAAAGACAAGCAGACAAACAACAGTACACAAAACACAACTTAGAAAACTAAAGACTGAGCAACACGAACCCCTCCAAACTGGAGGTGATCTCAGGTGCTCCGGAAGGGTAAGCAGATCCTGCTCCACATGAGGCACCCGTCGTGTTGCTCATGTAAGGTTATAAAGGAACCGATCGTTACGCATATAATATATACAATATACCTATTTAACAAAAAAGAGGTGGACGATACAAAGGGGCATTCAAAACTCATAACTCGAGAGAAACTGACAACGCAATGACAAAATACCTACTAAGACAAACAAGTTCACAAATCACTACATTAAAAACTAAAGACTCAGCAACACGAACCCTATCGAAATATTAGGATAATATTAAGTGCTCCGGAAGGGTAAGCATATCCTGCTCAACCAAATCGATCTTTAATTGCGGGCAAGTTTAGTTGAAAGCCGAAGAATACTTTTTGTCTTATGGGATATCTTAATGTTTTTTTGTGTTGATTGCAAACCTGTTATAAATACAATGTTTCTTTTAAATCAATTCACAACTTTGTCCATTCGGGGCGATTAAGAGATTGACATATTGTATAATGAGACGTATCATCGACACTCATAGCTTGTAGAAATACGCGGCGGCATGTCCGGTATGAATGGGGACGTTTAAGGAATGCATAGGTCTGTCCTATGGGAAGAGTGTCACGCTCCCAATACGTAAAATAAGACTTCGGACAACTTTTAATGGAATCAGTAGATGACATTTGGACGGCAAAATATCTGCTTCTATCCAACAAACTCTCTTTTGCTAAGGTGCTGTCCAAATTTTCCGCCCTCCACCCGCATGACCCACTTTGCAGAATCTACATATTGAATGTTCTGTTAATTTTTGCCTTAACAAAATTGTTACTCCAAGTAGGTTACGAGGTATCAAAACTGAAATAATCATTTCAAAAGAATTGTGGTCTCCATAACAATCTGGGAGAAGACTACAAGGTCTTACCTAACTAAAGACATGTTAACTCTGTTAAATGGCTTACTCTCGAAGTTTTTTCCAGTACAAATGCATTACATCTAATATAAAGTCTATTTTTTCCGAAGTTCATAAACCAAAAAGAACACCGTTGTCCTAAATATACATGTTTCATTACTTACATTCCTCGCACGTTCTTCCTTTGTATACTTTGGTACATTGACACTGGCAACTATCTGGGTCTAGTTTCCCGCCATTATAACACACTATCCCTTTGCAGTCTAAATATTAAATACAAAAATCAATATTGAATTATACCATCACGTGTTGACATAGATGCAGAACCGGTTTGTTTTTCTAATAGTTGTGTATCTCGGTATACTACGATCATATAAATCGGTCTTACTTTAGTCCTTCCTGAAATAGGCGCTATATACTAGTAGTTCACCTAAATTAAAAATTCAGTTTCATATGAATTACAATTTGACATCACTCATATTGACTTATAATTTATAAATCAAAGTACTGAAGTACTGAACATCGGATGACCACAAGTTCTTGAGGATGGTCAAAAGCACTTGTCTCAGAAAAAAACAACATATCTCTTTACCTGAAACTGAGGTTAATGTACAGAGATATATTTTTTTCTGAGACAAGTTCGTGCGTGGATGATGAATAAATGACAGGAAATTCAACTTCACCATAATAACTATTATATTGTAGTGATACAAATCAGTATACATGGTGGACACTTTTCTGTAAAAATTCGATTTTTCTAAGATTGGATACGAGTAGGCATTCATATTTTCCCGCAAAAACAATTACAGAGTTACCGGTCCTCGCAAAAAGTTCTCTGAGATATTCTTCCGCATGCTTTAACACAATTTTTCGGTACGTCTGCATTGATATTATCAATGATTTTTTACTTATATATATATATCGAACTACAAAACATTTTCATATTATTAATTTATGTTGTAAACAAAAATATTTTTATCAGTATTCATTGAAGAGATGTATTTATATCAAACGATAAGGAATGTTATTTTGCATTCGTTTATGTGCGCATATTTATCATGTTTATAGATCGGTTACAAACCCAAAACTAATTTACATAATGGAAATCTGGGCGATAGCAATACATCTGAATGACCCCAAGGTCATCGCGATGTAAAAATGAAATGAAATAATTATCTCCCTTGATTTTTACCGAATTTGTCAAACAGCACCAACAATATGTATCTTTTCATCTGCTTGGTTTTGGTGGGTTGGAGAACGAATAATTGAGTTTTACAATTATTACACGCATGTACATTACACTTACCGCACTGTCCATTCGAACAAGAATGGGGACATTTGGAACATCGAGGACCACTTGTGTATGGAATTGCCAAGTTAGACTGTCTAAAAACACAATTGACAAATAAGCATTAAGAAATTACAGTTACCATACACCTTAAGTGTTTACAGACACAAAATGTACAATGATGTGAATTATTTATATTGTCAGGACAAGATTCCAGTACAATCCATTACACTATCGCCTGCAATAAGTTAAAACTAAACAAATTTGAACCCAATGGGGATTTGATGATCTTGATATAAAATAAGGTGATGTGGTATGATTTCCAACTAGACAACTATTTACCAGAGTCTGAGTGACGTGAAAGTAAGCAACTATAAAGCATTGTACCGCCTTCAACAATGACCAAACCCCATATCGTATAGTCAGCTTTAAAAGGCAACGACATGACAAAATGTGAACACTTCAAGCGAGAAAACCAATCACCTGATGTATGACAAAACAATAAACGAAAGAAATATGACATACAGCAACCAACGACAACCATAGACCTTATCGCTATTTGGGAATCTGTGACACTTGAACTATTGACTTCATACAACAACCACTTTTCGTTTGTGGCGTCAGACATTTTCTATTGTGACGTCAAAATTTGTCGGAAACCTTTATATTTTCCAGTATAAATGGCGGACAAATAGAGATTATGTGTATTGAAGTACATGGTCCTGACTTGGACAGGCACATATACAGAATGTGGTGGGGTTAAACATATTTGTGAGCGAGGAATCCTCCCTTTATCTGGAACCAATCATGTGATCATTGAAGGAGAAACAATGTTAGAATATAAATTATTTAACAAGACATTTCTTTAATTTGCCTGATGTAATACAAAAATCCAGTTTCCTTTTTTGTTTTTATTTTTTGTTGGTGTTGTTCTTGCATAAATGGTTAAACAAAACACTTAATGGACCAAAATAATAATTTGGTATCGTTTCCCCACCGTTAACAAGGTTCTAAATGTTCGTTTTCGTTTGAATTTAAATAACTAAAAACAAAAAATACAAAAAGACGTTTCTTGCGTGTTGCCAAACATGTGACTTTAATTTGTTTTATTTTATTATTTTTTTGCATTACAGAAAGACAATAAAACAATTGCGATCACTACTACCTCAACAATTGCGATCACTACTACCTCAACAATTGCGATCACTACTACCTCAACAACTGCGATCACTACTACCTCAACAACTGCGATCACTACTACCTCAACAATTGCGATCACTACTACCTCAACAACTGCGATCACTACTACCTCAACAACTGCGATCACTACTACCTCAACAACTGCGATCACTACTACCTCAACAATTGCGATCACTACTACCTCAACAATTGCGATCACTACTACCTCAACAATTGCGATCACTACTACCTCAACAACTGCGATCACTACTACCTCAACAATTGCGATCACTACTACCTCAACAACTGCGATCACTACTACCTCAACCCATTATTTATGTGAAATTGTTTAGGACACACATTCAAAGCATATCAAATATAAAATTATATTAAGTGAGTTGAGTTTATCTAAAGGTGATAACTGTTCGTTGGTAATTATTTCACTTTTTTTATCCAAGTGACTGATACAGGAAGAATATGAGAAACTGACCAATGCCGACCAATTTAGCCATAAGATCCAGATTTGGGATAATCATTTCGTCATCTGCAAATAATGGGATATACAGAAAACTTGGCATATTCTATATACGACCCGAAATTGTCAGAAATTAGGCGTTACATATTATTGTCTGACTACATATCGAGATTTATGTACCCGTATCTCCTACTCGAAGGACTTTAAGAACAGCAGTGTTTGTCGAGGACCTTAAACGTGTTAGCAGTTTACGGTAAACAAATGAAAACTGGAACTTTACAGTTATATGTAATGTATTACGTTACTATTTTGTCATTGCATGTATAACAGTATGCATATCCATGAACTACTAATCATCAAATGAGTACATTGCTGCATGATCAAATACAGATACTAGTACATTGCTGCATGATCAAATACAGATACTAGTACATTGCTGCATGATCAAATACAGATACTAGTACATTGCTGCATGATCAAATACAGATACTAGTACATTGCTGCATGATCAAATACAGATACTAGTACCGTGCAAAGAAAAAAGTTTTTAAACCAGTATAAAGCTTCCAGGGTACATTTTGATATTAAATTTTGATGTAAATAAGGCATTAAAACTGATTAAACTTTATCAGAGCAGTTAGCTATGAATTTGTTGTTCTAATTTATTGAGAAAGGTGTTAAAAAGTGTGTAAACTTTAAATATTTATGTTGTTTTTAATTTATCATAAGACTACAAAACGTTATGTGTTGCATAAAATCAAACCAGGTAAGTTGCACTGTTATGTCTGCAGAAATATATTCAAGTGAACAATTTGGATAATTTAATTACATTTAGTCCTTAATTACTTTACATATCAAATGTAATGTGATGTGAGCAAGTACTTGTGCCTTGTGAGAGCTACTTTTAACGTGTAGTTTGGAAATAAAAGTATGATTACCCAGGCCAGTCAGGCCCGTGAAGACCGAAAGTCTTTACAAATAAGTAAAGTCAGATGTAATTTGAGCGTTGAATTCTAAATGTGTACGTTAAGGAAGCAATACCAATCAAGTTAATGTTAAAAAATAAATGTCCTCACCCTGCAGCGTAGTCACAGACGTAGTAACGCTTGTACATAGAATTCTTACACACTGCATATCCACAACCAACTAAGTATGTACCATTCTGTACCATCTGAAATTGAATAATAATCTTCTACATGTAGCTCATAAAGACAAGAGGAAATCGACGCCAATTATGTGATATATTGTAGAACATTATTTTAAATGAAGTGAAGCAAATTGTTTTGTTTTGTAGTAGTCTACAACTGGTCTCATCCATTTGAATACATGCACTAACTTCTTTCTCTGTTGACTTTGTATTCAAAATGCATCATAAAAACCCCGTCCGTACAGAAAAAGAGAGGCGAAGGATACCAAAGGGACATTCAAACTCATAAGTCGAAAAAAAACTAACAACGCCATGACTAAAAAGGAAAAAGACAAAGAGACAAACAACAATACACAAAACAACTTAGAAAACCAAAGACTGAGCAACACGAACCCAACCAAAAATCGGAGGTGATATCACGTGCTCCAGAGGGGTAAGCAGATCCTGCTCCACATGTGGCACCCGTCGTGTTGCTCATGTAAGTACAAAATCGGTGATATAACTAGCGCACCAAACAATATTAACAATCTTCCTTCTGATATACTTAAACTAAAATAATGAAGTCTTGTCGTATTTTATCTATTGCAAAACTCACATACCTGTGTGAAATGTCCAATTTTCTTCCATCCTTTGTGACCGAGATAAGAATCTGGTTCGATCCCGTACTTCCACATCGTAATCTCGTCATACCACATCTGCACTGCTTTCTTCCACGAACGATAACCACCGGCCACATTCTGCCCAATAGTCATTCCTATTGCTGAAAGACAATATTAACGTTTGAACATATATTTTTGTCAGTTTTTTTTTTAGAAATGATAAAAAAATGAATATTGAATGCAATTTTGAGTCGTACGCCAAAAAATTCTTATCGTTTCTCGCGTTTTAATTTTTGATGTATTTGTTTCCACTTGTGCACATATGGTGGCGGTTTTTCGTGGACATATAGTTAAGAAAAAAAATATGGAAAAAAAAAGAAAACAAATGCATTGGGTAACAAACAAACATAGAGGCCGTACGGTTGCTTAAATCTACGGCCTTAACGGACTTTGGTGGGTAGTTATCTCATTGGCAATCATATCACACCTTCTTATCTTATTTTTAAAAAACGTAGCGGTTAGAAAAAAATTTTATTCACTATTCACAAATTCCCCCCTGAATAAACTTTTTTATTCGCATTGGTACTAGTCTATTACGACAATAAGCGATGTCATAACACGGATCGAGTTTTCTCTTCATTTCAAGAACTGTACAAGGTGAAGTTACTGAATTTACAATCTTCTAGACTAAGTTGACTTCAGTTCCATCAATAGACATATAAACGTTTATTAGTTTTTGTAATATCTTGTTTTCCTTACAGCATTCCATTTGAAAGAAATAAGTACGTCTTTCATTTTTCTTATCATTTGAATAATTACTCGAAATCTCTATTCGTGTAATTTAATCTTCAAAATGCCTTTACATCCATGGTAATTTCAAAGTTTGCGCAATATAAAGATATCAGCCTTGGTCTGAAACATTTTTTTTTTGAAATTATTCTAATGCGTATCGATGTTTGAGATAAATCAGCAATTGTCTTTAACCGACAAATTGAAGTGCGTCTAAAATGTCTTCACTTACAATTTTTATCGAAGAAAGCATTGAATCGGTGAATACTAAATGTGATTTTGCCGCCATAGCTTTTTAAAAAGACACTGATAAACAACCTAGTCAATTCCGTCGGATTATCTTCCCACACAGTGGAAATGAGAACTACTTTATCAAATGTATCTTCTCGTTTGTCTTTATGTTCTTCAATATGCAGACATCAGTTACGATCGAAGATAATATACCAAAGTATTTTTTTTTTAAAAACATTGATTTGATAATATGTCTCTTTCAGTGATGCTCGAGGCCATAACATTTGAAAACCAAAACCTAATAGAATTATGTATTTCTACCGTTTTTATTTGAATTTTGTCGTATAAAAAGGGGTTGGGGTACAATCATAATGAGATTTCCTTTGAATCCATATTATTAGTTCCATGGTGTGTCAGTGACCTAATACGATATGTATGGGGTCAGTAAATTCCATATGGGGTGAGAGCGAAGCTCCAATGCCCATATGGAATTTACTGATCCCATATATATCGTACTAGGTCTATAGCACACCGTGTAACGGATTTATCTTACCGACTATCTTCACATGTGGTATTTAGACTAGCGGCCTAGCAAAGTGATTAAGTCTTCAATACTTAGTATTAAGAACCTACTTTCATTTGTCTATTCAAAATACAAATGCCAACAATAACAACTTGTTAGCTTTAAATTTGTTTTATGGATTTATTTAAATCGTTCATTATCAATTTCTTCGTCTGTTGAAACCTTTCAGATTTCTTTTTTTGTTTTGAAAGGGAAGTTACTCCTTACTAACCCCATATGGTAACTAACCCCATATTTTTTAGGACACCCTATATCAAATATATGTAGTCACCACGTGTAGTCCTTTAACAAATGATAACAGGTATTTCAGGGGAAGGTTCATTGAATGTATACTGGTATGATAGTGACATCTCATATGTATGCTGTAACCTGTTTATTTAACACTGAAAAAAGAGGACTAGCGTAAAGCCAACAAACAGTAATACCAACGTTGTGTGTTGTCTTATCCCAATGTTGAATGTAGTGGCCATCAAAACACATAATTGTATATATCCTGCGTCATTGCCTCACCAATATGGGTATCTACGCAGTTGAACTAGTTCTGCAAGTGTTGTTGAAATTCTTTATCTGGACATAGTTGTTAGTGCAACGCTATGGAATTATAAGTTAAGAAGGTTATTTTTACATAAAGTTGTCACATATTTATATTTGATGTGACTGCATGGTCAGTAAAATTATCATCCTTTACGACAGACAAAAACAGCTGATCTGCAGGTATAACATCTACTTGCCACTATACATCAAATACTGTGTTACAACTCTAGATATATACAACGAGGGAAGGCATTACTCGATTAACGAAAGCTATATTATATGGACTAGTTGGTCGAGTGAAGTTGGACGCTGGACATATTGCAGGAGGTGTTGCGATGTTTCAGATGTAGGGGTTCGAATTCTGCTGAGGGAAGAACAAACACTGTTGAGCTAAATTTGAGACGAAGTATATGTAAATTATGGTGTAAGCCCTGTATAACCACAGCTTATCCGATGGAGAAGGTCTGTCGTAAAGTTGTCACATATCTAGACGTGTATACATATAAATGCTCCTACAAATAGCCTTTGTTACTACAATAGACAGAATTAAAAGTACACCTACAAGGAATATTTCTTTCTTTGTCATGTCCTGCTTCACACTGGTTTGCCCATTTTTGTGCTACGACTGCTAGTCTATCGTCCCATTTCTACAGATAGAAAAATGTGATAGTCATAAAAAGCCGCTGAAATATATCTATAAATAAGAAGATGTGGTATGATTGCTAATGCGTTAACTATTCAGCAGAGACCAAATGACGTAAGCAATTATATATATCTATGTCAATGTACCGCCTATAACAATTAGCAAAACCCACACCGTATAGTAAGCTATACATGTAAAGGGCTCAAAAATAATCAAATCAAATGTAAAACAAATCAAACAAAAAAAAACAAACGGCCAGATGTTTGTTCAAAACATGTTCAAAACAATGAACGAAGGCAAATACCAAAGTATGAAAGACAACAACAACTGGATTAAAGGCTTCTGACGTGGGATAGGCACATGCAGGACATGGCGGGGTTAAACCTGTTAGCGTGCGCTCAACCCTTCCCTAACCTAAATTGTAAGAAAATTGAGTAACAGCACAAATAAGAACAAACTTTAAAGTCAGACGGAATAACTTGACTCATCATAAATTTTAATCAACATTTTGCTGTAACGTTTAAATGTACTCAATTGTTATTTTACTAGAACAAAGAGTATTCGCAAACCTAAATTGAAATAATAGTTTGCTCTTTAATTTACTTCGTCTATCTTCTCAGCTTTTAAAGTACGTCTTCCAAAACAAAACCATTATTCTATATCATTGATCGCAAAACTTTCTGTCACCACTTGAATTAGTTTAATGAAATTCTTAAAAACTTGCTCCAATAAAAATGAAGAGACCTTTGTCAGAATTTATATACATCTTTCTCAATCTTCACAAATGTCAGATTGGTATCATATATATTTTATCTAAAGTTCATTAAAGTTATTCATATTGTTCATTTTGAGGATAAGTTCTTTGGATAATAAAAAAAGTTTTCGACACAAGTAAATTAGGTTTCCTTGTACGAAATTTATGTAGATTATAAATTTTCTCATAAAAATAATACAATTTCGTATTAAATAAACAGAAAAATAGACATGCAATAAAAATGTGACGTATTTTGTGTTTCTTTTTTCAATTTATGACTTTATTTATTACTTTCGATATGTTCTACTTGTACATGACACCTGTTTCTGAAATTGACGACGTAACATCAATAGCATCCTGTTTTAAAGTACAATACAATGATAAAGATTTATGAATAAAAAGCATGCCATTTCTCACTTTTTATTCTAAATTTTTTTGTTTTGACATGTCTTCAAATTCATAGTTTAACAATTCGTACTTTAACTACCGTATGTATCTTGAATAATACGTACACAATTCGTGCTTTAACTACCGTATGTATCCTGAATAATACGTACACAACGATCCTCATTTTAGATCTTTTATCTATACAGACATAAATTATTGTCCTCTTTTCAGGCGGTAACGATATCTTTCAATATCATAAAATTGAATGCTGTTTTTATACGAAATGAAAGCAAGTGACCTTCACATTTTGCATGAAGTGCTTCAATACTTTATTCTCTGAAACTAATTGAAAAGGGTACAGAGAAGGAAACAATACATTTTAAAACATATAATTCTTTAGTTTGTTAGGTGGTAGATGGATAAAATACTAAAATATTTTCGTCACTTGCTTACATTTCGCATAAATTTTCAAAAACACGGCATTCAATTTAAATTTTTACATATCTTCCAAATGAAAAACAACATGTCAGTAACATTTTTAAATCTGGAACTGACAATTTAAATACAAAACTTCGAATTTGGCTACTGAGATGAAAGCAGAATCAATCTACGTGAAATAGAGCAAAAATTAGCATTATGAAGTCGATAGCTCGTAAAATATTATAAAAAAAAATGTCAATAATGATTTAAAATGTATATCGACGGATAATGATTTATTTTTACAGATTTATTTCAATGAAAATAAAATTTTACAGGTAAAATAAAAGGTAAAAAATATGACTATAATTCAGAAATAAACTATAATTGTTAAAACAACAAATCCCCCTATGTTTACATATGCATGTAATTAAAAGTGGGCAAACCAGGATGACACCATGTTTACAATATATATAATGTCAATTTTTTTTTAAATTGATAAAATTTGCTAACAGTTTGCACGAAGTACACGAACAATGTGTAGAAATAATGCTGATTTATTAGGTATAGGCAGAGCTAATAATTCTATAACGTTATATTGTTTTCATACAGTTAAGTTGTCTTCATACAAATTGGTATCGTATGACAGAATTAAACAATTCGTCTTTCAATCAATAAAAGATCAGCATTTGTATGAATTGAACACCTACTGTAAATATAAACGTTGTTATATCGATTTCAGAGCGCATGTCACAATCTTTTAAATAACTTTCTTCAGATAAGCGCTCTAGACTAAAAGTGTGTGAAAAAAATACATAAAACATAAGAAATTATAAGAACATGAAAAGGCCAAAGGGAAAACCTAGATTGTTCTATATAGTCAATTTTAATGATATGAAAGCTAGATCGTCGCACTTTCGGGGACTTACAGTTCACCAGCAGCGCCACCTATCAAATGGTAGCATAACCTTTTTTTACGTTATCAGGTGTGCACTTTAACCTATATATAGTTGATTGATTGATTGATTGATTGATTGATTGATTGATCGGTGCTTGCTTTACGCCGCCTTAGCGCAAAAAGGCTATATCGCGGCGAGAGCTTATTCAAATATTTTTACATATATATATATATATATATATATATAGTAGATAAACTCACTAATTTTACAAGGTCGGTAGCTGGAGGCTGAACTTGACCACGTAATCTATTATGATGTCTCAAAACAAGTACTTTGTCCAACTCAGAGATTCCACTTTCTGCTACATTTGGATTATCATTCATACACATAGTGTGACCGGGAAGGGCAGCATATTCCTTCGAACATGTAAACTGAAATTCAGAATACTACATAAGCGGTTAAGATAAGGAATCCCTGATTGAAAATATCAGTGACTTGCATATAATAAGATTATATTTATTGATGTTGAAAAAGAAAATATTGGACAAACATATACACAATAAAGGCAGAGCCAGGCGTTGTAAAGATCTTTATTGTAATTTTTAGGAGGATAAGCGATAAACCTCCGTTATTTCAAAGTTAGCTGGTACAAATCTACACACAGACATAAGTTTTTTCTTTAATCAAATGTTAAAACCGAGACAAGACTAGTGCTTTAAGGTCAAGTGTGTATGTGTCAATAAATGGCTTGATTTTTCTTCTTCTCAGAAATATTTTATCCTCCTGGCGGATAATAAAATCTGATTTTTTTTAGATGTCCTTTTTTCATCATTGTAAGATATTATAAATGTACCTGTGATGTGTGTCCTCTCTTTGTAGCTAGTATCATCTTTTGAGGCTCCCGTTGTATCAGCATATCAGGTGAAAGAGTAGGCCCATGTCCAAAGTCAACATAGTTTGGTTCTGTGGGTGGATAATCTTGCGATGGCATATCATATAAAGCCGGTGGGGTTGGCTTCATGATGGTCTTTGTAAGCAAACCATTCTTTCCGAATAGATCAATACCAGAAGTTTTTGTAACACCATCAATAGATCGTCGTGTTGTGTCGGAAATTAAATTCCAAAGACTATTAAAACCTGTAAATGCAATTTATATAAGTTAGACAAAAACATAATAAATGCACATGGTTCCAGTTTATATCGAATATAAATTATGGTTTTGGGATAGATACTTTAAGGCAAACAATATCTGAACTGCAGGTTTGAACCATCTTTTAGAATTCGAACTTTGATTAAATCATCAGAGAAGCGACATTATGCTGCCATTATAGAAACCAAAATATAATCCTGAAATAGTGAAATAATTTACAGTGGAAACAATACATCTTAAAAAGATGTATTTTGCTAAATGTTATCTCTAGAAAAAATACCCTACACTTGACCATTGGAATTTGATACTCATAGTTAAATAAACTCCTTAAAGTCTACTTTTTCGTCAACATTTTGGAATATTTGAATTTTTTCTTCGTTTCCCTTTGTTTTTCGTTTTATACTTTTTTTTTCTAACACATGATTATTGCATTTATTCTGCACAAATCTAGAATCATACAGCCAGCGACATATGCAATGACAATATGCAATGATGGCACGTCAAAAATCACCTTCAGTTAATATTTTTAGCGCAATTCATTTGTTAACACTTTAAATTCAATAAAGCTAATAAGTCGATGGATTTGGCGATTTGACATTCACACATTTTTTATTGCACGTTGTTATGTCATTAAACCGGTAAAGTAATCAAAAATGGTAATTTTTCAGTAAACTTGAATTACTATAAAGACTAAGGATCATGTTATATTATTTACAAAACGTTTCATTTTTTGCAAAAAATTGCAATTAACACCTTGTTTAATGATTGACATAATTGATTTGGTTTTAATATACGCTTTGAAATTAGAAAACGGCTTCATTTTGTTGATTTATCGATGCTTAGATGCCAATATATGATGCTTATCTTTCGATCTATGTATTTGCAAAGAAATGATGTCAAGTGAAATGAGCATCGTTACTTGGAAATTATACATTCGGAACAGATGGTCACGATATAATGTTCCTACTATCTGATATGTCGAGGATCATTTGTCCTTCAGTTAATTATTGAAGGTCAATAACGTCATCTCAAGCAGTTCATTCGTCTACAATATAACACTTATTTATTCAGGAACAGTGCTACGTATTCTTATTAAACACCATTGACAATAATTATTGCTAAGAAAGAAAAAAAAAGAGAGAAACTGCAATATTCAATCCTAACTAATGTCAGCTAATTGGCGCCCCAATTCAGCATAAGAAATAGAACAAAATTTTTTAACTTCAAATATTCGAGCATATGACCGATTTTTTATTCACCATGGAAAATATGATTAATATAAGGCGCGTTGACATGGAGCTACGAGTACAGGCATGCGTATACAGAGTTCCATATCCGAATATGAAGTAAATCCTTGACAACTTAACTGCCATAAAACCTATAAATATGTCAGGTACTCCGGAAGGGAAAGCATAACCTGCACAGAACAATCATAGGTTATATTGTACTTATATAAAGGCGAGTGACATGAAGCATTCGATAGTTATGTAAATGAAAATATTCAATTCTCGAGTTATTTTGGGGAAATGAATCCAATAATTGGAAGGAAAAGTGTAAAATGAAAGTTATACTTCATAAAACTGCCGAGTCCGTTACTAGATTTACCTTCAGCAGGAACACTCAGACTTAAAAATGATTAAAATGGTAATTATGAGCCTGACAAATCCACAATTAATACACCCTCATTTTTTCTCTTGTAGGATGACTTTATTATATGACTAATGTGACCTACCAAATCGTAAAGTACAATGTTTGACTTGGAATTTTAACAATGATTTCAATAGTCACTTGAAGTGACATTTATTTGACGAATGCTATGAAAGAATTAAGGAAGGAAGTGTTTATCACTTAATGTTAGGATTATGAAACAGCGTGTGTCAGTATAATTTAGTACTTTAGCGTGTATCACTTGGTCTTTTGACCTATTTGATTCGAGCGTCACTGGTGAGTCGTTTGTATGCGAAACGCGCGTCTGGCGTACAATATTATAAGCCTGGTATCTTTGATGCGTTTTTGCTTACTCAAATTTTCTTTGGAGGAGGGGGGTCTTTAGTTTTCTATGATGTGTTTTGTGTACTGTTGTTTGTCTTTTCGTTGTTTTTCTCCATGGAATTGCCAATTTGTTTCGACTCAAGAGTTTAAATATCCATTTCATATCTTTCGCCTCTCTTTTAAATACTCTTATAAAATGATTTTATATTTTAAAGAGGAATTTATGCCAATTGTTATGTTGTTTTTGTAATCAGGTCTTTAACTAATTATTATCTCCTAGCTATGAAATTTGAACATTACTTCGATATGTTAAAGAACTGTTCCACTAAAACAACGTGCCCATTGATGAAATGACGAAGTTGAAATCTCAATACTTTCACTTTTCTTTATAATATAAACAATCAAAATGTCAAATGACAAATGACAAATTTTGTGAAATAAAATAGTTGCTTAATAATACACACTTTTTGTGTCTTTCCTTTTATCATCAAAACCCATCCTAAAAACCACAGTAATTACCAATAGATGATCTGTAGTCTTATGGCAAACTGGACACATCATCGTTATGTTAATCATATACTTACAAAAACATAAAATGTGACGACATATCATAAAATATGTCTATATGCATATTATAGGGACTAGCAAGTTAAACGTATGAACGTTGAACTGTAAAAGGACATAATAATTATATGCCTAATGTTTGTATTGTTATAGAAATGTATAAAATTAGGTCTGGGATCAACGTCAATGACACTGCAACCCAAACTGGAATCCGCTTGTATGTACGCTACGCTCAAAGTGTAGTAGTCAGTCGAGAACCAGCTTAACAACAACCCAAAACAGTCTCAATAATGACTGTCTAATAATTGGAATGGGATTTTCTATGTTAACTTTAATTTTAAAAATCTGGAAAAATATACAAGGTTATGGCTCAAACTGCATGTTTATGACGTCTTTACTATTTACACTGAAGCCATTGGATGTGTACTGATTGATATTTTAGTAGTGGAAAACATGGACAATGTATTAGTTGGAATGGCTTTGACCTATCTTTCAGTTAATTGTTATCACTGTAATTTTCAAAAAAATGTCGAATTTTCAGTAAACCTATGCTATTTTTTTTAATTTTTAATGGAAAATGCAGTTGTAAGTGTTTAAAAGACAGGTTGTAGGATTTCTGAATGGAACATCAATAATAAATACTATTTAGATTTTTACGTGATTTATGTGCGTACAGTGTCAGGGTAAACATTTGAAATGATTTTTTTTCTATTTTCTGATTGCCTTGATATCTGCAAAATGAACTATTTTAGAAAGTTAATGATTACTCTAACGAAAAATCACAGCTTCTTCATTATTCTATGTAACATTTTTTCCACAAACTAAATTCAATCGGCGTACATGAAAACATGTCTATCCTGTTTCCGATACTAGATCAACCGTTAAATTGTTTCTCCCTGTGAATATGGAACTATTCAGTGGTGATTTCAAAAGTACAAAACATCCTAAAAATTTAACACAGCACGTTTCTTGCATATCAGTGTAGAGAAGAAAAAAAATCAAGACATTTAGTGTAAAAAAAATTAGTGGTACCCTTTTATAATGTCTATGCTGTTACCAACAAATTCAGTAATTACAACAATATTATACTTGTAAAAAGTGCAATTACGTAGATATAAGAAGATGTGGTATGAGTGCCAATGAGACAACTCTCCATCCAAGCATAATTTATAAAAGTAAACCATTATAGTGTTGGAAACCAAAATCACAACAGAAAGACATTATCACTGCATCAAAGGGAGTAGTTATTTCACAACAGCATTCATAAATGAAGAAATTTGTCTATCCTGTTATGTCTATCCTGTTACTATGGTTACAGTAACAGGATACCTGTTACTATGGTTACAGTAACAGGATAGAAAACAGTTGACAAACAAAATTTTTAACCCCGCCACATTTGTCATGTGCCTCTCCAGAATCAGTAGCCTGTAATTCATTGTTGTCTTTGGTTGCTGTCTACCTTATTTGTTTATAGGTTTTAGCTTTTATCATTAATCTCTTTGGTTTTCTCTTTGGAATTATCATTTTGTTATGCTGGGCTCTTTTACAGCCTTCTATACGGTATGAATTTTAGTTATTGTTGAAGGCCGTATACAGTGCACTATACGTGTTTACATCATCGTCCTTGGTCTCAGGTAGATAATTTCTCATTGACAAGCATACCACATCTTCTTTTTATTTGTATGTGTAAACATGAAACACAAGTTCCTTTTGTATTACCAACCGATTTGTAGATTTTGCTTCCTATCTCTTCTTGTAACACCATCATCAAATATTTAAGAGTAAAACATTTGGAATGATTGAAAATTCTAAGATTATAACTTCGACGAAATTAACTACAAACTGAAGTATTTTTTTTTCATAAAGAGTCCTATTCTTTCGGCATTTTTCTTCTGACATTCTGAAGTTAACTTGTTTCGCATTCTGTTTCTTTGGCAAGGACAGCGTGTACAGGGTAACTACTTTATACACAGAAGAAAATAGAATATGGATGCGGATTTGCTACTTTGTTTTAGAGGTGCCTACTTTTATTATCTACACGAACAAATTTTCGGAATTTCGTTTTTAAAATTCTGACGTTTTTACTTACTATTTATTTCTAATCAATTTATTTGCTTTATACAAAACAAAAGAAGATGTGGTATGATTTCCAATGAGGCAACTATCCACAAAAGTTCAAATGATGTGGAAGTAAGCCATTATAGGTCACCGTACGGCCTTCCACATTGTGAAAACCCGTACCGTATAGTCAGTTATGAAAGGCGCCGACATGTAAAATGCAACGAAATTCAAATGAGAAAGCCAACTGCCTAATTCACAACGTTTCAATTTACGAAAAAACGAATATGACGGACATAAACCAATGACAACCACTGAATTATAGGTTCCTGACTTGGGACCGGCACATAAACCCTTCCCCTAACACAGTGGTGTAACAGCGCAAAGTAAGACCAAACAGTAAAAATCAGTTGCAAACGGTTCAACTTAATATATTGGTACGGAGGTGAAAAAACAACAAACATAAAAATAATAGACCCAAATCACCGATATAAGAATACTCACAGTAACTGAAAGCTAATTCAAAATTAATTACAATTCTACTAAAAATAAATTATGTTCCGTCCCATACTAAAGTACTTCTTTATTCCATATTTCTATATTTTTCTTTATCAGTTTAAGGGGTCTGCCCCCAAATCCATACCTCAGTACAAGGATAATACGCATGATACTTACTTAAATTATCCAATATGCTGTTATAAATGCATGACACAGAACTAATTTAATATTTCTATTTACTCTAAGCTCATCAAAGACAGGGAACCACTTACTTTCTGATTTTGTTGATTCAAACCGGATAATAAAAAAACTATCTCAAAATAACAAAGGACAGTTATATTTGGCAATAAATGATAACTGACAAGATTTAATGCACAGTTCGGATGACAAATATTCTTCTTTTATGAGGTACAGTATATTGCATAGTAAACAAAACAGAAAATCTTACCGGTCATCCAACTGGAGGATTTCTGTGCAGTTGCAGATCCGACCAAACAGAGAGTCAGCACATACAGTATATTCAAAAGTTTCATGATTGATATCTTAGTCAAACTGTCTAAAGTCTACTTTCAAATTTTCTATGAAAATTCGTAGAAATTTTCACACCTCAAAGTCCTAGTTCCCAAACATTTTGATTTCTTAGTTCGTCAATTTTCCAGATACCTGTTAGTCTTTTTGAAGTGAAATTCCAAACATGTATTTTATCCTGACTTTTGTATTTAAATATCCATTTTTGGTAATATCTAATGAGAAAGTACCACCGCCTTTTCCTCAAAACTCCTCTCGCCCAATACTAAGTGAAATGAGACATTTGATTGACAAGGGTTGTGTATAACATAGAGGAGTATCGAACAGGATAATAATTGTTTGACACTGTTATTAATTATTAGGACATGCTTGAAGGCGTTGTATTGTAGAAAAATGACATAAAAACATCGATTTTTTTACCATTTGCTTGCCATAAACTGTTGATCTGGTCTTGTTTCACATTGATGTACAGTAATTCGGAAATCTTATTAAATAAACAAATAAGAATTAATAATAAAAAACAAATAAATCATAAAATAACATTTGTTCTATACATTAATGTATCATATGTTTTTTATGTTTGCTTCAATGTTATGAATTAACAATGAAATGAATTTATTTCATAAAAAAATAGATAAAAGAAAGTATTCAGCTTTTTAAGTTGGAGCGTTCCTGATAAATAAAAAGTAATTCAGGAAAACGCTTCGGACGCATGAAATAGTTATAAAGAGTAATTATTCATTTATTATCAATGTGTCCATACCAATAATGTTAGTCCCTTAAGGTATCATCAACGCAGTAGTCAGTGCTGCCGTACTGACATGATATAAAACATATTTTTCTAATCCCTCCTTGATTAATGAAGAAACTAAGGTTCCAACTCCTTCATGCACAGTTGACCTGGACTGAATTTGTCACTTCTTTGTATGTCCCTTTTGATCATACAGCTCCTAACGTGTCCAGGTATTCGTTTTACATCCCTGGCTTTCACAGGTTTTGGTTTTGGCGTTCTTCTTAGTTTTTAAATTGAATCGTCTTCTTTCTATATATTAGTTTTTATCTGTCTTTGCTTGTATAATTATGAAATCCAAATTCGGCAATTTCTGCTTTTTATGCTGTTGCTTCTTTACTTTCATAGGGAAACAAGCAACTCGGAAAGCGAAAATATTTAAGCTCGAAATCTGATTCATCGCTTTTACTCTTGATTTTTTTACTTTTTTATTTGTTTTGCTTTTCAAAGTAAAGATGATTTCGCAAAATCTGATGCATTCCGATTTTGTTAAAGATTCCTTCAATCAAACTGTTCTCATGAGCTTCTTCGTGTAAGACGTACTTTAATATTGATGAAGTTAGCACACAAATTAGTTGATTAGGTGTAACGCTATAATTTCAAATTTTGATTTGTGTCAAACATTCTATCAGTGTTACATAACTTTGAAAATAAGGTTTATTCAACCTTTGCCAACATTTTAAAATTAAGGTATAAAAATGTATAATAAACTATGCTGACATAGGTTGAATGTTACACATATAGATTAAGTTTTATGAATAGCAAGTATTAGGAAGTTTATCAATTTTCAACCAGTTTAAACTTAGCATTGTGTTAAATTGACGTGTTTTCATATTACAAATTATTTTGTCCTGTGTAACCACGTGAGTATAACAGTGCACATGGAGATGATATTGTATGTGTAGCTGATCTCATCTTACTAAATATAAAAGAAAAAAACAGTGGGAATTTTAAAAAAGAAATTTTATTATTTTAGCGATAGAAATAGTCATCTCCCCTTAACCCGCAAGAGTACATTTGATATAAAAACGCAAACACATCGATCTTTTACAATATTTAAAATTGCCGAACGGAAGCGGAAATCTTACTTGAAAAGTTTACACACAGCACCGAGGATGTCGTCCCTCCTCTGATAGTAATGTATGAAATATATTCGTGAGCAATAAAATTTGAGAATCGTATGATATATACAATATATGGGGGAACATTTGATAAAAATGTAAGGTTAAATCCTGTAACTACAAAAAACTGAATATGACCTTTACAAATTTAAATCTGTTGTATGTACATTGTATATGAAGCAAAAAATTCTCAAAAGATTTACAAAAATTACAAAACGGTTAAACCAACTTAACTACACCTGTAGACTTAATTATGTACGGTATGTATGTCAACCAAAATGGTGTATACATGTCAGTCTGCCTCCGCCTAGTCTCACCAACATTTATTTATTTTTATTAATTTTCTGAAATTACTGGTGTTAAATTATCTTCTCACTCTAGTTTTTCATGTTATGTGGGAAATGAAGAATAATAGTTATATTGATTACCCGCCAAGAAAACATAATCTTGATGAAGAAACATGTATAACTGTAACAAAATAACACTTAAAACAGAAGCATTTAAACATATGATACAATATAATACATAATACACGTGTAATAGCAGATGAATTTTAGTCTTAAACGGTCATTTTGATCGTAATATCATCTGAAAAGTCTGAACAATAAATAATTCAGTCATGTTCAGTTTTTCGGTCAATTTTCAAGCTTATCCATTGCGGTTAATTCAGTTCAGTTCAGACCATTCGCATTCAGTAAATTAGGTACTGTTCAGACATCTCACTTGCAGTCAATTCAGTACTGTTCAGACATCTCGCTTGCAGTCAATTCAGTACTGTTCCGACAGCTCACTTGCAGTCAATTCAGTACTGTTCACACATCTCGCTTGCAGTCAATTCAGTACTGTTCAGACATCTCGCTTGCAGTCAATTCAGTACTGTTCCGACAGCTCACTTGCAGTCAATTTAGTACTATTCAGACATCTCGCTTGCAGTAAATTCAGTACTGTTCAATGACACGCATAATCACCGATTTTCCTGAAACTTAGTCTGACGATATGATTAGGTGAAAAGGTAAGAAAAAAGCCTCCCAAAGTGCTTCTAGGCCACGGTTGCCAAGTCAATGAGTTTTCCTGTACATTTTGGGGTATTTAAGCATGCATTCTAAAACAAAACCAGATTTTATTTTATGATATTTGTTAATATTTTTCAGAAGCATGATTCTTAACAATCATAACAGCAATGTCATATACAAATAATATTTTGGCTGAATATTGTCACCGCAGGAGCAGAGGTAATTTTTCATTGCATTTGTGAAGGCAAATTATACACATTTAGCATGAACAAAAAATACAGTTATGCATCCACCTCCATTTAAGTTGAGGTAATACATATAAAGTATCAATGTTTCTAGTCGATAATTTACAACAAAATATTTGGGATTCAGGGTGCTAGGATGGTTGCAATGGAAACCAAAATGTGTCAATTTTGGATTTTCTTCAGAAATTCAACCATGTTATCAAGATTACCCGGAAACAATTATTACAATTGAATGACTATGATGTGGAAACTATTGAGCATTAAATGACCTTCAATTTAACCCGAGGTCAAAGATCATAGATGACCTTGACCTTTGACCTTGCGTACATGAATTGAATTTTGTACGAAAAATATAATAGAAAAAAGCAAACAATACGTGAGGAAAATGTTCAGGATGATTAAAGCCACTGTTTTGTTTACAGGTCAACAGTAAGAAGTCAAGGTCTTGTCAAAAGTGCTTATCAACCACCCTTATTTAATACAGGACTGTATGGATTACTACATAGACCAAGGTCAGGGGTGAATGTTATCACACTATTCCTCAGCAACCATTCATTTATAGTGCAAAAGTGCCTAGCAACCATTTATTTATAGTGGAAAGTTGCCATACAACCATTTATTTATATTAGAAAAGTGCTTGGCAACAATATATTTTCGGTTTCATTGAGACAAAAATCAGAAAAAATTTGATATCAAACATGCAGATTTCTTTAAATTAGTAATGCCTTTGAAGAACACACATTGTATGTACCGACTTGTTGAATTACACTGACTCGATTGAACACAACCAATCTATTTGTTTGGTTAGGGTTGGGCTTTTGAGCAAGAGCTTTTGTGTGGACAGAATGATCATTTTCTCGTAATTACGAGAAAACTATCGCGTAATTACGAGAAAATCATTTTTTATCTCGTAATTACGTAATTACGAGAAAATTATCTCGTAATTACGAGAAAATTATCTCGTAATTACGAGAAAACTATTTCGTAATTACGAGAAAACTATCTCGTAATTACGAGATAAAATTACATATATATATATATATATATATATAGATATACAGATCATGATTACCCTTCCGGGGCACCTGATAAAACGCCCGTTTTTATTAGCTCAACTAACCCAAAGGGTCAAGTGATCTTTTCCCATCACATGGCGTCCGTCGTCCGTCGTCGTCCGTTAACTTTTACAAAAATCTTCACCTCTGAAACCACTTGGCCAAATTGAACCAAACTTGGCCTTAATCATCCTTAGGGTTTCTAGTTTTAAAAAATGTATCCAAAGACCCCGTCCACCAACCAAGATAGCCACCATGGCTAAAAATCGAACATGGGCGGGGGGGGGGGGGGGGGGGGGGGTAAATGTAGTTTATGGTTTATATCTTTGAAACTAAAGCATTTAGAGCAAATATGACAGGGTAAAAATTTTCAGACGAATCAGACTTCCCGTTGTTGGGATGCTGCCCCTGAATTGGTAATTCTAATGATTATTTTTCAGTTTTTGGTTATTATCTTGAATATCATAATAGAAAGATATAAACTGTATGAGCAAAAATGTTTAGCCAAGTAAGATCTACAAATAAGTCAAATGACCAAAATTGTCAATTGATCCCTTAAGGAGTTATTGCCCTTTAAAGTCATTTCTGCAATTAAGTAAATTTTTTTTTATTTTTAACAAAAACCTTTCTCCTCTTAATCTACTTGGCCAAATGAATTTTTATCTCGTAATAACGAGATAGTTTTCTCGTAATTACGCGATATTTATCTCGTAATTACGCGATAGTTATCTCGTATTTACGCGAAAATTATCTCGTAATTACGCGATAGTTATCTCGTAATTACGCGATAATTATCTCGTAATTACGAGATTAAAAACTTCTTATCTCGTAATTACGCGATAGTTTTCTCGTAATTACGCGATAATTATCTCGTAATTACGCGATAATTATCTCGTAATTACAAGATAATTATCTCGTAATTACGAGATAAAACTATGATTATCTCGTAATTACGAGATAAAACAATGATTATCTCGTAATTACGCGATAATTATCGCGTAATAACGAGATAATTATCACGTATTTACGCGATAGTTTTTTCGTAA